ATTCTATCATATAAAATTTTTTTTTTTTATTTAAAAAACTTTTTTACTGAGTTTTAAAAAGTGTCCATAAACTTTTGACAATCCACTGTATTTATTAGAAGAACAATATATTACTTTCATAAATTATACTAGAGGCTTTGGTTGTTGATAAATAAACTGGATTGAGAATATTTATACTTTATATATATTCTTATGCTTGTAATAGTTCTATTATTTAATAAATAAAACAATCTTAGCCTGATTGCAGGTATCAAAAAAAAAATAAAAAAATCATATAATTAAAAAAACTTATTTAAATTTGAATAAGTTTAAAGTCTCTATATTATCATAAATTCATTATTTAAAATATTTTTAAAAATAAAATAATAATAACTATTTTATAATTTTTTTTCATATAATAATAAAAAATTTAAAAAAATTAATTTTTTATTTGTAATTTTATAAAATTTTTTTTTAGAATATTTAATAAAATTTTAAATATTTAAACATTTTAATATTTGAACTTGATAAAAAATTAAATTTAAAATATATTATCTACTATATTAATTTAATAAAAAAAATTTTCATAATATAATTTTTTACAAATGAAAGTCAAGTGTCATTTTTTTTGCCACCACTGTCTATAATTTGAATTTAAAAAGAATTTATTGTAAATATTAGTTATATACTATGCATCACTGATAGTGATATTTGTTTGATCGTGTGTTATATCATTATGCGATATAATAGTATAGTGCGGTATAGTTCTATTATTATATTGTAAAGTACGCATAATACCCATCTCTAGGCATCCGTATAATGGTATCATTATTGATGGTTGTAAGCGCAAAGCCAATGAGATAGATTATAAACAAGATGTTATTGACACAGCATACGTAGAATGTACATTAAATGGTAAGTAAAAGCTGTCGTCTATCAAAACTCATGAGTGTTGATTATAAAAGTGATAGAATATAGAATAAATGAAGAAGTTTCAGTCATATGTGATTGTTGAATATTGACTCAGAAGCTAGTGGGAATATCTCAAAGTGGAGTAATAAGGGTAAGGTTAATAGGCAATCTTGTAAGAAAGTTGAATTAAAAATCTGGATTGTTCACACGCTTGCTGTTAGTGAAACAATACATGCTCTATTTAGTGGCTTATTTATTATATAGCTATTATGTATAATGAGCTGTATGTATAGAAACTAGTACAGAACTACATGTAGTTTAGTTTTTTATTATTAAAATTAACAGAATCGAATATTTTTCTTATAATATATTTTTTATTAGTTTTTATTTTTCCAGTAATTATAACATACACTGTATCTAAATTAGTTTTATTGATTGAATAATGCGGTCGACTTTTGGGGGGCTTGCTGAAAGTATACCGAATGATCCTATTTATTTACGTGTCAAATCTTTTTTCTTACGAATTCTATATGCTCGTGAATTCATAATTGAAACATTATTTGTATGGTCACGAATTTTTTTTAACGTTTCCTGAAATATTATAAACTTATAATTAAGCATTATAAAATTTTATTATAGAATAGTATTGTATAAGTAAAGTAAGTACCTTGATGTCTGACATAAGAGCATAAAATTCCTCAAGTGTCGTAAGTGTTTTGGGGTTATTTGGCATTCTAGTTTGAGAAAGTCTTCCAAAACGTAACACGTTTGTAGCCTTACAATCCATTCCATATGTTTCATGAATCCACTCTTATAAGAACAAATACAGTATTAGTTATAAATATTATAAATACGTATAATTATTATCTTTTTTATTTACCCCATGATTGGATTCCAAGAACATATGTGCGATGAAGCTCATCTCCAGGTGCATTTAAATTAGATTTAAAAAAATCATATAAAATGTCACGCATAACTACAGCAAGATCAATACGATCTTCTAATATTTTTTTGCGATGAGCAACCGGTAGACCGCCACTTCTAAGTCCTATTATTGCTTCAAGGCTAGTATGACTATTCTTTAATGTGCCTCTAAAATCACATTTTTGACCTGCTCGTGCACGATGATAAATCGAGAGCCCTTCATTTCTACGTCGAGAAGAAGCCTTACAAGCAATTTCGCCGCTAAAAAAAATCAAAAATAAAGTAGATTAACTAAAATAAAGATTTTATTAAGATTTTTTTGTTTTTACTTACGCATCCATTTGGAGATCTTGATTTTCTAAAAATCGTTTTGTTAGCATAGTTGGGAAATTGTTGTCAAAATCCCTTTCTGAAATAAGCGATCCCAGTCCTTTTAAGTTTTCAATACTGTAATAAAATTAAAAAGATAAATAATCAAAATATATGAAGTAAAAATAAATTAATTTACTTACTATGTTATGGTAGCAAGCTTTATGTTGTCCATAATATCTTCATCCTCGTCTGTTAATATAATATTATTGTTCCTTTCAATTATCTCCGGTGATAATTTTGCAATTTCTTTAATTGCATTGTTATTTTCTTTTTTCGTTATCTAAAAATATATTTGTTAGTAATATGTAAAATTTTATAATAAGAAATCTTACCAACCTTTTCTACTTCATTGAAAAAATATACCACAACATCTGGTATATCGGATTCAATCAAAGTGACATCATTTTTAAAACTTTCTGTTATTTCTTCCCAATCATCAACCGAAAAGAAATGCTTTATCATGCTATCCTCAGTCAAATCAATAATATTCCAATAAGCTAGACTATAATTAAAAAAATTTACAATTAAATATAATTATTAAAATTCATATGACCTTTATTTATTAATAAACTCACTTTAAACATTTCTGTGTTTCTGGAATGGTTTCCACATATTTCTTCAATGCCTCTCCAACATTTGTACCACTACGAAGGATCCATGACCGACCCGTATCTGGTTCAAAGTTATTATAATTCTATATATAAGGGTACGGTATAATAAAAAAAATATTTTTATCAGAATATTTTTATTTTTAAAATATGAGAAAAACACTAGCATTTACAATATTTATTTGGTCCTTATTGGTTTACAAATTATCATTAGTATTATCATTATATGTTTTATAAATTCATCTATTTCCATTCATGTTGTTATATATATTCTTGTATTATTATACATATTAAATACCTCTTGATTATAAGCCATATCATCTCCATCATTATCTTTATTGCTTTCATCATTATTTTTATTGTCTCCCTCGTCATTTCTATAATTCCCATTATCGCTATCTTGACTATCATCTTCATTTTCATTATCAACTTGTTCATGATTATTAGAAACCTAAATACAGTATTAATAAGAAAAAATAAAAACTTTAAATCAATTCTAGTTCGTAAAAATCCCATCTACAAAAATATAATCATGAAAAATCAGATATTAATTCAAATATCTAGTTAAAAGTAACTTACTTGAGATTTTTTTTGTTTTCGTTTATCCAGGTAGGCTTTTTGCGATTTGAAAAAACTACTTCTTTCTTTTCTGTTGTTTTTAACAAGGTCAGCTATGGCTTTAGCCTTTTTTTTCACAGAAGAAGAAATATCCTTGCAATCCGCTATTATTATCAAATCTCGTATAAAAGAACTATGACATGGTTTTCTTGCTGTTAAGAAGTAAAGATCATAGTTTTTCCAATGTGAAGGTGATTTTCTTTTAAAGAAAACGCTAACTTTTAGGGTATCAAGACAGGATTTCATTATTAAATCTCAAAAAGAAGTATATTTCTATCAAACACCTTTTTTGGCGGAGTTGTAGGGTCGCTTTTAGGTATAATATATAAACACGATAAATTGATGTTACGTCACGCGTATACTTAAATAATAAGCCAATCAAATTAAAATTTCGTATTTTTTACTTGATTTAAATAAGCTTGAAGAACAATTCCGACATCCAAAATTTCCAAAGGAACTATAGAGGAGAATAGGTAACATATGATATTACCATAAAATTATTTTAAGTTCCACTTAATGTTAATTTAAATGAATTGTAGTTTACCTCTTAATATGGTTCCAAATATATCGATAAAAAACTACAAAAAATTTCTTGAAAGCCGTGAGCCATCTGGATACATGTTTGAGTATAATAACGACAATGTTTTTATTGTTGATATGTGCACAGAAACACGTCGAGTTGTTGTTGCACTATTGCAAAAATATTTTGATGTTCCCAATGGTTGCGTTATCGATGATCCGCCAATAGTCGTTATGGGTCAATCACGTAAGAAAATTCAAGCTTGTTTGATCTTTGACTTTTTATAGATTTTCTAATATCTATACATACTTTTATAGTTCATACTTCACCAAATGCGGATGGACTTAGGATTGCACCAGATATTGCAGTACGTTCGCATGAGACATACGTTCCAAGACTTCTCAATCCTGGACCTCCCAAGCAACACAATAGTGCATTGAAATTTAGTATATATTATTATTATCTGTTTTGTATACAATTTTCTAATACTTATACATTTGTAGGGAAGCCCTCATGCCAGAATAGTATGTGAGGTTGCAGTTAGTCAAAGTTACCGTGGATTGAAAAATAAGTGTGAACTTTGAATGGGTCAACAGTACGTGAGATGTGTATTAGGAATGAAGCTTTATAATTTGCGAACTACACGAAATACTTGTGGACATTTTAATTGAGCAATGAATGTATTTATCTATTGACCACTTTATTATGGTTTCTTAGTTGATATTCTAAAAACTTTTTAATTATTAGCTAAATTATGAGGACAGGGATTTCCAACCAGAAAAGTAATGTTAAACTGTTTAGATATTCTGTTTATTTTTCGACATTCACACGTATATATCTAAAAAATAGTGACATTTCGGGACCGTGCAAAAAGGTAGTAATCAACTTACTGGGTGTAATGTTCCGGGTAATCCACCATATCAGATCAACATTCCGATAAGTGATGTATTTTACGACCCACCTATTCCGGCTATTGGATATGTTTCACTGGTTTCTCGTCCTGAAATTCCTGGTAGAAATTTCATCATTGATATTTACAAAATTCAGCAGATAGTTTTGAAGAATCAACCAAGATAATGAATATGTAATGTGTTTTAAATGTTTTATAATAATCTTATTTGCTGACATTGTACTGCAATCTATAATACCTTAAACTTGGCTCATGTTCTTGTTTTATTTTTGTATTTGTCAATACTCACATCATGTGCACATGCGTGTGTGGGTATGTATCAGAAAAATAAATAGAGAACAGATTTAACAATGTGTGCGCATGAGATTTTATTGCTTGACCGTAAAACATTTAAGTTTTAATCTTATTCAATAAGACCCAATTATTGAAGGTGCTCTATAATAGCTATACTTTATATGGGCACAATTCTTTCTTGAGTTGATCCCATTATTCAAGAATCGATATATTTTTCATGTTGCACCCTTGTACAAACCTGTGGATATTCTAATATTTTTACCAAATTGGGACTAAGTATATTAGATGGCAGTTTAAGAAATTTCGGCATAATTTTGCGATATAAATTTCTCGTTTACATTTTCAATAATCTATTTTTAAGAAATATAAAAACCACCTTTTTTTTAGTTGCGATTTGTTTTGCATCATAAAGAGCGAATTATTCATTACCTGCGTAATACGGACACCAAGTATTATTACTATGAGACAAAATTTTCATTCATGATCACCACGCAACGCCATAATAATATCGACTCGCTATTAATAAATTTTTTAGAAATATATTCTCTTTTATCATGTGCAACATTTGTACCATCTTCAAGAGTAAAATGCCTTCTATGCAAATATTTTATGCACCAATTTTTACCACGTATAACATTACTATAGGTTGCTGACCACTCACGACCTTCCACTCCAATAATTCTTTGGTAGCTGTAATGAATTGTGGATGCAAAATGCTATTCGAGGATTTAAACGGGTAAGAGAAATAGCAAAAAAGAATAGAAAGTGATAAATTTCTAGACCTGACAGTATATGTTCTACACAAACTACTGGTCAACTTGTCCTCATATTTAATAATGTGCATTATACTATAAATAGTTTAATTAATGCACATCATTAAATGCATCAACTTCGATATTTTAAAAATTAATTTAGCTAAAATTAGCTAAATTAATTGGACATTTATCGACATATGTATTAGGGAAGAAATGTATCATATTAACAATGTATACAGTATATATCCTTCATTCAATATATTTATACATGTGCCAATACAAACATGGAAGACCGTAGTTCATTCTTATCGCACCAAACCAGAGACTGTTGATAATCTAAAAAAAAAAAAAAACTCACAATAAGCGATAGTATTATGAAACGCATCACTACGCATCACTACCTTTATCACCAGGTTTACCAAATTACTCTCCGGCTTAGTCAAAAAGAGGCGAGATACTGTGGTGAATTTTATCGGATTATACGTTATTAATAATGCTCGCACAATTAGTCGCCTATTATGAAAATTTATAAATTCTTATTTTTAATGCTCGACATTCAACCATGGAATTGCATAATCATTCTTAAGATAGACTTTCAAATTATATAAATTGCAAAAAAAACATTCTTTAATAAATTTAATAAAGACTAAAATCTGGGTTAGTGATCTTAGTTGGCAAAAAAATTTTTAATCGATTAGTTGTTTTAAATATAATCAACTAGTTGCAGCTAAAAATTCTGAATTCTGATTGGTTAATTTTGAATTTTTCAACTAAAAATTCTGAATTCTGATTGGTTAATTTTGTAACACTAATCTGGGTCGCTCTAGTCTGGGCCGCTCTAATACTAAAGCGTGATTCTGTGTAACTATAAAAACTGAGTCCGATATAAGGAGATAAAATTTAGATATGCTTTGTTGTAAGTTTCGGTGGGGTTTTTTTTTCAAGTACAGTATCGGTATTTTTTCGGGGCATCGGGGTTTTATTTTTAGGGTTTCGGGGTTTTTTTTTCGTTTTATGAGGGAGTTCAATTTTTTTCGGGGTATCGGGGGTTTTTTTTTCGTTTTTTGAGGGGTTCGAGTTTTTTTTCAATTTTTTTTAGGGTATCGGGGGATTTTTTTTTGTTTTTTTTTTCGGGTTTTTTGGCCGTTTTTTTAAATTATATTATTATTAAATCAAGTCATTAAATTTTAATTAAATAAAATTACTCAATTATTATAAATTAATTTTAGATTTTTAGATTTTTTATTTTTATTTTCCGGGTTTTTTTTTAATTATATCATTAAAATTTAATTAAATAAAACATCAAAACATATAAACTAATTAAATATAGAGTTTAATTTAAGCATAATTTTAAATTTTTCCGTTTTTTTTTTTCGGATTTTTTTTCAATTAATTAAATAAACCAATCAATTATTGTAAAATTAATTATTACGTCATTAAATTTTGATTTAATTTTAAATAAAAAGTTTATTAATTTAATTAAAAATAATTCAACAATAAATTAATTAATTAAATTAAAAAGAAGTTTAATATTAATTAATTAAAATAGGTTGATTTTTTTTAACATAGATAAACATCATTTCTTTTTTTATTTGTATATAGCAGAATATTATTTTGGAAAATAACAATATTTCTCATGTACAACTTGTAATAAGTTAATTGCTAGCTTGCCTATAATAATCATTTAATCTTTATTAATTAAAATAGTTTAATTTTAAAATATACTACAGTACCGGCGAAAAAAAATGACAATTTTCTTTCATTTGTAAAAAATTATATTGTGATAAAATTTTTTATTAAATTAATATTAATATTAATTAAAAATAAAATTATCAATATTTTAAAATATTAATAATATTTTTTTAATATTAATAGAATTATATATAATTTTATTTAAATTTATTATTTTTAAATTTGGTTTTTTATTAAGTTCAAATAT